AATAACTACTATATGGAGACAAACACTAGGGGGGAAATGGGAATCGACACCAACCAAACCAATAAATCAAAACAATAGGCAAGCATGTACACAAATTGGGTGATGGAGAGGGTACTCCACATTTCCTTCTTTAGAAGCCACAACACTAAGCATTCCTAAACCAAACTCAACTAACAAGATAGGCCAACCAAGTCTTAATAACGGGAAGTAGACTACTAACTCGGGTTTGTCTTTCGATCGGTCCAAGAAAGCATTAAGGCACAAACAATTGGGATTTCTCACCTAATTGTCGCAACTAAGACTACTACATCATTCTAACAAGGAACCATAATCAAGAGGAATTTAGCATAATCATATAAGAGTGGGCTCACAAATAGACTCCATCTTTCAATGCTAACATAGAAGTGAATATATGAGCAACAAGTGGCCAACCAATTACACATGCAATTAACCAATCCCTTAACAATCAATCATCAACCCAAAATGAACATGCAAGCACAAACATCAATCAACCCATGGCTTGGTTGGGTCTTCACCTAATCCCTAGCTAATTAACTACTAACTAAACATGGTAAAGGACATCATAACAACAAGTTCTAATTCTAGCATTAAGTTAACAAGTTAAGAGAAGTAGTAGGAATGAGGTAGATTGGACATGCAACAACAATTAAACAAGATCTAGAGAGAAATTAACAATTCAAAGTAAATAAAAACTGAAATTAAAGAATAAGAGATAGAGGAAAGAGATTACTTAAAATGCTTCAAAGTTGAGAAATTGTTGAATTCAAGAGAATAATCTTCAATTAATCTACTACAATGATTGAGTTGAGAGAAACTAAGCTAATTAATAAGAGTTTAGAGAGTTAAGGGACTAAGGAGACTAAAGGGAAGAAGGTGATCTTCTCCAAGGAAGAATATGCAGAAAACTGAAGCCAAGGGTCGTATTTATACACCCCGAAATCACATCGTAAAATCCGCCCAAAAATATTCGGGTTTGCATGTAGGAGCGCCTTCTCCTACAAAGAGGAGCACCCGCTCCTACATAGACGAGCGCCCGCTCCTCAGGCTGGAGCACCCTCTCCTGGCTCTTGCGCGCCCTCTCCTACTGCAGCAATTTAAGGCAGTTTGTGAAAGATCAGGGATGAGCTCCCGCTCCTACTATGGTGCACACCCTCTCCTAGCTGGGAATAAAGAGAGGCAGATTGTGGCGCTTAGGGTAGGAGAGCCCTCTCCTCAGGGGTTGCACGCCCTCTCCTCTTGTGCTTTGCTACCAATATAGTTCTTCAGGTTCATGCTATATAACCAATTTCTCCTTGCATCTACAAACATGAACAAACACATAAAAAGGATCGAGAAAGCCAAAAGCTGTAATCATACACAAAAAAGGATTCGGAAAGGGGGTAAAGAAGGGAAAATGGCAACAAAATTGTGTTAAAAATGCCATGTTAAGTGGACAAATAAAACACTTATCGCCTGGAAGAATAAAACCATTTCCAGAACACATTTTCCGCCCAAAATTCACTAATTTTGGGTAAAAATCTGGATTCGAGGCTGATGATAGATTTAATACGAGGTAAAAATAAATAAAACGAGCTACTAATCTAATTAGCACTTGAAGACCAGAAAAATTAAGCCATAAAACACCTTGAAAAAATATTATGATTTTAAAAATAAACGAGCGAGGCTCCGATACCGCAGTTAGGGTTTGGTAAGTCCAACTTACCGCGGAAACAACCCCGACCCAAAGAACCACTCGCAATTAATAACACCATAATGCATAATAAATAAAAATAAAAGGATAAAATCATAATTTACCTTTGTAGCGTACTTCGCCCTCAAAGTCGGGCTCTTACTTGTAAGCTTTAAGCTCCGAAAATACGTGAGCCTCCAACGGAAATCCACCCGCAAAAAATACTAGCGACTTTTAGGTCCGTTACCTCGAGGTTAGCGAGGTCCGACCAAAACCCGAGTATTGTGCGAGTTTAAGAGTTTTTGCTAATGCAATGCTCTATTGAACTCCTACTCAAGCACTCTTCCTAAAAACCCAAGATGGGTATTTATAGGCAAGAGGGAGAGTGGGTGGAAATTTTTATCCCATCAATGAGGGAGTCATGAAATTCCACAATTTATTTTAAAGCTAAATTAAAATAAATAAGCAAACTAATAATAAATCTACAAGTGACACTATCATATGTAAAGGGTGGTGAGGACCACATGGAGATTAGGGGTCCATACTTGCTCCCCACTCAATACTCTCCTTGTGCCACATGTCCCTCACCCAGTTGCTTTCCATATGCTCCCACTTTCTCCCCTAGTACACGGCCCTATGGCCCAGCTACATCCCGTCGAGAGCCCAGCCCCGTGCGTGCGCTGCTAGCACGCAATCTTGCGGCTGCAAGCTGCTGCTAGCATGCGTTGCTTGCGGTTGCTAGCACGCTGCTAGCTATGGTGCGCTAGCACGCACCAGCCGGCCATGCATGGCTTGGCTTGGTGCGCTTGCTAGCCACCTATGCTAGGAAATTTTCGCCCCTATCTCTCGGATGCTCGGGGCATTCCGATGCTAGGGGTATATTGGGAAAAATTAACGATTTATTATTATTTGCGCGTCTTGTCATTTACTATTTTTGACTCGACTTCCGACGCTCAGTTTTGATGCTCTAAGCTCGAATTTCCAACGTATAAATATTTAATACTCGGGCGACGAATTAATTTCTTCCGAATTAATTCGTCGAGTCGGTTCGTTTACTTCTAAGGGTGTGACCCGAAGGGTTCAGTCAAGATTAAGCTGTAATATTAATTATGCATTAATATTAATGATCGGAAGCAGAATCCACCTAGGCATTCCGATCACTTGACCTTACTGAATATATTAGATTTTGAATAATTCTGAACCCGCTAACGGAATAGTACACTTGTTCGAAGGACAACATTCCTTTCAGTGTCCTCATTGGTTCGGACGGTCATCGAGAATAGGCCCCAATCTAATATCTCCACATTCGTTTGCCTTGGGATAGGAGGTAGGGCTTTCTTTCCAGCAAGGAGGGGCAGCTCCTTATGCTAGCGGTTGTACAACCTGTTTCTTTGGAAGTATGGGGTGGAGACAATATAAAATTTAGACCTCCAATCCTTCCACTTATTCTCCTTCCCTTGCGTCATCATATAGCCTTTCTAGTTGGTCAGAGTAAACCAGCCGCCCCGCTTGCATGTGGACTCTTGCTCAAGTAATGCATATGAGCGAATGCCTCGAAGTTGGGCTCCACCTCCAGCATCTCACTGGCGGCAACGTAGCCCAATATTTTAACCCAAGAATTAGCGGCTGGTTGCCAAATACCCAGCTGTTATCTGTTCAAAATTCTCTCTACAGCCGGATGAAGAGGGAAGCGCAAAACTGCCTGAATGGTCACCTTGTACCAACCAAAACACTAGTCACCATAGCTAACTTTCTCGGGCCAGGTGATTGTGTCCTTACCATCTGGCACGGACAACAGATAACCATGTCCTATGACATGGGTTGAAATAAATTTGCCAAAGTCGGCTGTCATCTTTTCCCGCATGCTGTTGGCGACTTGCAAGAAATAAGGGGCATTCTTATGAGGCCTTTGGCCAGATGCATGAGGCCTTTGGCCGGATTATAAAGGAACCTTAACCGGTCGTCCAATTTATCTTACTAAGCGTGATTTTCAATTACATATTCCCTTCAAACATGCAATATGGTGATCACTAAATATATAATAAAATAAACATTAATATTGGAAGCAATTCAACAATAAATTGTTAGTCAAATCAAATTAATTAACCTAATCATGATACTAGAAATATTAAAATAAAATAAGTAATTAAATCAATTAATTACTCACATTAGGCGCGTTCCATAAAATTGCTACATCATGAATGAATTGTTAGTAACTTCAATAAAAATATAAATCAAATTTTAAATTAAATAAAAAGTAGAGTTGATTTGGTCCAAAATCTTAGGTATTTGTACCTTTCACGCCTTAGTTTAAGGACAGAACCTCGGGTCAAGTATGGACTCCTTGGAGTGCTTAAGGAAGGAATGAAGTTATTAGTAACATAAGTTTGAGGCTTAGAGTATGAGAGATAGAGAAGAGAATAATTTTTTTGTGTAGAAGAGAGGAAGAGAGAATGATTTGGTGCCCCGAACTATAGAAAGGGGGTATTAATAGGGAAAATGTGTGGAGGGAACACACGAAACCCTAAAAAAATAAAACCCTAGTTTTGAGGTGCCTTGACACAACGGAGATTGCCGCGACACATCAATGTCTATCATGACACGGAAAAATATGTCGCTACGGGACAAATTAACAGCCCTAGAAAGATAAAACGCGTGCAGGTTTTACACGGAGAAAACATGGGAAAATTCCGTGACACGGCATAAAATGCAGTGACGCGGCAAAGTCCACCATGACACGACATGTGGCGCTGTGTCACGGTGTACTTTTTTATTCGACTTGTGTGATGAAACGCGAAAAAACCAAGAAAATGAAACCACCACGTCAACCTTTGCCGCGTCGCGACATTTTAGCTGCTGCACGATAATTCCAGTTTTTTTTACGCATTTTTAAAACTACGATAACTTTTTATCCCAAAGCATATAATATATATTACTGGAAAGCGTATCTAGTCTACTTTTAAACCAATTGAAATCAAGTTAAAATCTTTTGTAGATTTTTAGATATGTTCGTTTTAGTGAAAGGGTGTCGGTTTTGGACCGAATTTGGTATTTTAATAAGAGTTATTCGTTTTAAATTGGAATTAGGCTTATGATATATTGCTTGAAAGCTTATTGAAATGCCTATCCAACTAAATAATATTTGGATCAAAATTATAGGGCCACAAAATCAGTTTCTCTCGGTTTTGCGATGTGGACGCGAAAAGTGGAAAGTAAGTTATGATTTAGGAGCAACTTCTTCAAGAAGAGTTGGAATACAGTAGGGGAAGATGTAAGCAATGTTGTGCTTAATTTCCTGCAAACTGGAAAGATGTTGAAAGAAATAAATTCAACATCTGTCACGCTGGTTCCTAAAACAAAGTCTCCTACAAGTGTGACTGAATTCAAGCCTATTGCTTGCTTTAATGTCCTTTACAAATGCATCTCCAAAGTTCTTTGTGATAGACTGAAGCAAATGCTGCCTTTTCTTATTGCTGAAAACCAAAGTGCCTTTGTGCATAGTAGATACATAGTTCACAATGTTATGGTCTGTCAAGATCTGGTGAGACATTATGGTCGTTCTGGTGCTTGTCCTAGCTGTCTCATTAAGCTTGACTTGAAGAAAGCTTATGATACTGTGGAATGGGACTTCATTGAAGAAATGATGCAGGAACTCAATTTCCCTAGGCATTTTGTTAAATTGATCATGATATGTGTCATATCTCCAAGATTTTCTCTGATGATTAATGGTTCACTTCATGGATATTTCCAGTCTAAAAGAGGATTAAGAAAAGGGGATCCTCTCTCCCCCCTACTTTTTGTCTTATGCATTGAATACCTCTCCAGGATTCTGAAAATTATCAGTCTAAAAACTGATTACAGTTTCCACCCAAGATGCAAGGCAGCAAGGCTCACCCACCTTTGTTTTGCAGATGATCTAATCCTTTGTTGTAAAGGGGATGTAAAATCTGTTAAATTGCTTATGAAAGGATTTTAGGCTTTCTCTAAAGCTACTAGCTTAAAATCTAGTCCAAAGAAAACTTCTGTCGATTGTGCTGGTATTCAGGAAGATGTAATAAAGGAAATACTGCAAATTACAGGTTTCACAAGGGGAAGACTTCCTTTCAGATATTTGGGGGTCCCAATATGTTCAAAGCGGATAAGTGCAGTAGAATGTGAGAACTTGATTGATAGAATGTTCTCTAAGATCAGAACCTGGAGCTCCAAAAATCTTTCCTTTGCTGCCAGGGTAACCTTAATCAACTCTGTGCTCCTAAGCATTCAGGTGTATTGGGCACATATAATGATCATTCCTAAGGCTATCTTTGATAAGATTAAGGTGATATGTAGAAACTTTCTCTGGAATGGAAGCTTACATCACAAAGCTTGTTATATAGCTTTGAATGATATTTGTAAGACAAAGGCTGCAGGTGGCTTAGGCATTCAGGATGCTGAAACTTGGAACACAGCAGCTCATGGCAAAAATGTTTGGGATATAGCTCAAAAGAAAGAGAACCTTTGGATAAGATGGGTGAATAGTGTTTATCTCAAAGGAAAGAACTGGTTTGATTACAAACTACAAGCTGATGCAAGTTGGTACTAGAAGAAGCTATGTGTAGTAAAAGAGAGACTGAAGAGTATTTACTCTGTTAGCCAATTTGGTTAAGGTGCTTATAAGATTAGTAAGCATTATCAGGCTCTGAGGCTTGACTAACCTTGTTTTAGATAGGATAGTTTTGTTTGGGAAAGATGGGTTATGCCTAAGCATAAATTTATCTCTTGGCTGCAATCTAGGGAAGATTGATGACTAGAGACAGATTACATAGTTTTGGTGCTGGAAACGTGACAGAGTGTATGTTATGTGGAAACAAGGAAGAAACGCACAAGCACCTGTTTTTTATTGCAGTTATAACAGGAAGATATGGATGCAGATTTTGAGCTGGCTCAGTTTCGATTGTAATGTTAGTACTTAAACATCACTCTCGAGGCAGATCAAGAAACAGAAAACTCAATTTCAGAGAAGATTGCTAAGAGTCTGTGCTTTAGCAATCATTTATCAGATATGGAAAGCTAGGAATGTAGCTATTTGGGATAAGAAAATTCTTTGTATAGAAACAGTTGTAAAATGTGTAAAGTTTGAGATAAAAATAGAATTTTAGGTGTAAATTCTAGGAAGATGAAGGGGGTAGATAGAAAAAGTATAGAAAAACTCATTGTATAGTTCTCTTTGTTGGTATTTCTAGGCTGCTTGTAGCCTATTATCCTGCTCCCCCTTGTGATAAGTTGTAAAAAGTTTTTCAGAGCTATAAAACTTTTACACTGACTTACCAAAAAAAAAAGTTATTATTTAGGGAAATGAGCTATGAATTGGATTGATTTAAAATGTATTGAATGGAAACATTGATTTAAGAACTCCAAATTTTAAATAATCAAACCTACCAATAATGGCGGTGAACGGTTTTTCATCATCGGGTTTGGTTTTGGGGAGACATTTTTAGGTGTCTACCGAAGCCCCCACTTTGACTGAATTTTTAGGAACGTTAATTTCAAAAACGATAGTCAAAGTAGTCGATAGGGACGGAGAATGATTTAAGACATTCTGTGATCCTAAATCACTCTGTATACGCCGATACATGCAGAAAAATGTTAGTTCCACTGATAAAAGAGTAAAAGGATAGAATGCATATCTGACAACATTGTATAGGTGACAAATGAGTTTTGTAGCTTTCTATGCTTAAAGAAATCTACCGTATAATGTTTGTTGAGATACTTCCCATGCTTGAGGAAAGTCAACATATGAATTTCGCAGTTTTCTATTCTTTAAGAAATCCAACGGATGATGTTTGTTGAGATAATTTCCATGCTTGAGGAAAGTCGACAGATGAATTTGGAAGTTTTCTATGCTCCAAGAAATCCACCGGATGATGTTTGTTGAGATACTTTCCATGCTTGAGGAAAGTTGATAGATGATATAATCGCTGAATTCTTTGCCTTGAAAGGTGGCAACGACCGACAACATTCCATGCTTGAGGAAAAACTTGTCTGATGATGAGATTGCAAATCTCTGCGTATCGAGAACCTTGTGCCGTGAATCATTTTCTCTTGGAATATGATCAAAACAATTATGATGGTTCGCTTGTCCCCGAACGTGGGTTATAGATGGTTCGCTTGTCCTCGAACGTGGGCTGTAAATGGTTCGCTTGTCCTTGAACGTGGGTTATAGAATGTCCGCTTGTCCTCGGACATGGGCTATAGTTAGTTCACTTGTCCCCGAACATGGGCTGTAGGTTGTTTGCTGTCCCCAAACATGGCCTGTAATTGGGTCACTTATCCCCGAACGTGGGCTGTAATTGAGACCAACACATAAAATTTGCAAAGGGATTCGTATAGACTATGATTGACTTGACAAACTAACTTGACCAAGCTAGACTTTACATGACATGACATGTGTATAACTTGTGGTTGTGTGTGTGCAAACACAAGCAACCAAAAATGCAAATGCAAAAAAATTTCGTCATTTTTGTCATGAGATGAGTGGAGGGTACCGACTTTCTCCAGAAAAAGAAAGACACAAAAAATGAAGTTTTGTTTTCAAACTTCCCTCAATAAAAAATTTTGAAATTTTTTTGAACTTCCCCTAATGAAAAAGATGAAAAGGGGAAGAAGTTTTGAACTTCCTCTTTGAGCAAGACGAAATGATGTATGGATTGAATTGCTATGCATGATGTATGTTCTTAGGCCAAGAGGCTAAGGATAATTACATCATGTGACACGATAGATGAATGAACCTAAGTCATGAAGCTAAGCATCATATATGGTGTAAAGAAACGATCTTGAATGTCACTTAGGTTTGGAAGCTAAGCACGTATATAGATGAAGTGATTATTGCATAAATAACGTTGCTTAGGTCAAGGAGCTAAGCGCAATATTCTTTGTATGATTACAAATAATTGATATATAAATGTTGTTCATCACATTATGCGATGCGTGAAACAATGAATGTTGCTCAGGTCAGAAAGCTAAGCAAGTATATAATGTTTCTTCTAATGAATGTTGTCTTGAAAGATGATGAAGTATGCGCAGTAGTGGAACAAGATTTCGTGATAAAGGGTTCTTAAGGGAAAGATGATATGGCTATGTATGTATGCAAGAAGTGTGTGAAAGTGATACTACGGTGAGGCTGCAAAGGCTATGGTGATGGAAAGATATGTGAGAAAAGTAAAAATGGTAACTGTTTGGCATAGGTAGGCTAAGTGATGTGGGTTCAAGCCCCCAGGTCTAGATCTAGATGGATAGGGTCATAGGGATAAGCATTTGATATTTTTCGACTCAATCATGCATATGAATGTGGTCGCACCTCAATGTGAGGTTGCCTACGTATCCGTTAGGAATTAGGCCAAACGTAGCTCTAGCAAAACTTTGCACAAGTGTGTGTACATATCAAAGAGGTCTTTCAAGGGTTATAATGGTTAAGCAGATGGTTTAAGGAAGAAAGGGGTAAAAGTCTCAATACCCGATAGAAGCCCCCAAGATATGGAATTATGTATTGGACTTTGCAAGTTTTCTTTATCATATATATTTTTTTGTTTTGAATTTATTTTCTTTTTTTTTATTCTTTAAAATCAATGTAGGAAATCTCAGATCATGCGATTCGTCACTCACTTAGCATTCTTTTTTCCCTGCACGGTACCAAGCACTTGGTGAGAGACGTAATTTGACCCATGTTCATATCAAAGACATTAGAACACTTACCTTTAGACTTTTGTTTTTATATTCTTATTCTTTTTGTATTTTCTTTTTTTTAACTTGATTTCTGAATGTTACACAAATTGCACACCTTCCCAACCCAAGGTTAAGTGAATGTGGGTGGAATAAATAAGGTCAGTCGTTAGACAAGGCTCAAAGTGGTTGACGAAGAAATGGATATTTGATTGAAAGACTAATAGGAAATGACAGGGTTGCAAAGATGCCTCAAGTCATTGGTGTACCTTGTGTTTAGTTCGGTAATTGATTTTTTTTATTGAGGTGATGAAAAATGTTATGATCGAGAAGTAAAGGAAATATGCTCATTTTATTAATGGAAAAGGTGAACGAAACATATAGAAATTCGAAATGGAAAACTTATGATAGACATGAATGGGGGAATAAAGATGAATGATAAAAAAAAATCATGGAATCTTGCACGAAGGATCTGATGTGCGCCTTGTATTCATTACTTCTTGCCGCCTAGAAGGACAGGTTGTTTGTTGCATCCACCAAGTTTAACATGGTTAAGTGAATGTGGGTTGAATAAATTATAATAAGTTACCAAAATAAAGAACATTCCAACATTCCCATCATTTTATACGACAAGTGAACGAAATACATCTTTGTAATTCCTTTTATCCTCCATTCATCAGCTTACTGAGTTTTTTGAATTGATCATTGTTCATCCTCCTGTAAACCAATATAAGATACAATCAATTAACAATAAAATAAAGCTCTAAGTCTTGTAATTCAAGTTAAAACTAGTATGAACTCAACCTTAACAACGCTAGTTTCTTCTCTCCCACCATCAATAGCAAAAATAAAGGGATAAAATCAATTTAAACATACATTGCATTTATAGCAGCCTTCACCAAAATCAACTAAACCCAGAAAGTCATCAAACCACCCACACGGCCACACCCCCGTATAAACCCAAAGCTATTCCTGTAACCACCCCCAAAATCTCCTAACCCAAAACCATCCCAACCACATAAAACACCTGTATCCCCATGAAAACAACTAACCCTTGTATAAACCACCCTAGCCTCGTGATAAACCACCCCCACCCTTGTGAAAACCATCCCGACCCCCCCCCCTCCACGTGAAAAACAACCTAACCTTGTGAAAAACCAACCCCAATCTGCGACTGGCCTTGTAAAAAAAAACCAAAACTACCCCAACCCCAGTAAAACTCTAGCCACCCACCAAAAAAATAAAAACCGCCCACTCTACCAAAAACCCGAAAACTTTTCAAATTAAAATTTAAATGGAGACATACCTTTTCAAGACTAATTGAATTGTTACATAATTTGTGCAAATTTGACCACAAGACTCTAGATCTAGATTTTTCACAAGAGGAGGAGGCAACGCCGGTGTAGGACGACGATGTATCAAAGTCGGTATGAGGATGCAACAAAGTTGTAGATAATGAGTTGGCGGCGCATCAAGCCATTAATTTCCCTATGATTAAAAAAAATTCAGATGAGATGAGAGTCAAATGATGAAGGAGAAAGAGAGAGTCACGTAATTAATGTATAATGAATACGAATATCTATGGGTCTATGGGTAAAAATATTTAAGAAAAAAATTAAAAGGAAAAGTGAGGTTTGTGGTGGGCCCTTACGCACATAAGAGACCCGTTGAATTATACAACAGGTCTTTTATTCCCCTCCTTATATCTCACGTAAATAAGTGTGGGCCATTTGATATTTTAGAGACTTGTTATCTCTAATATTAGGTCTCTTACATCAAAGAGACCTATTTCGTTAATCAACAGGTCTCTTTTTATAGGTCCCTTTGCCCCTTTTTGTAGTAGGTCTCATGAGTCAGATTTTTGATAAAGAGGCAAACTATCACTCTTTCTTTAGGAGGATCTTCAAAGAGTGAAGTCGTTTCCCTCCACCTGTTTAGATAAGCGGTGAAGCCTTCATTCTCTTTCTGTTTCAGAATGGAGAGTTCACGTTCAGAATTTTTGGTTTAAATGTTACACTTGTAACGATTCGTGAAACTGTAGGTGACATCTTGCCAAGTCGCAGTATGCTTGGCATCTAGGGAATAAAACCATTATTAGGAAGCATGCTCTAAGGAGAGAGGGAACATCGTAGGTAAGAGTATTATGTCCAATATCTTAAGAGCCATGGTTGTAGAGAACCCCTTGAAATGGAATATTGGATTGTCAGTAGGCTTGAACTTTGGAATATAAGCGGTGGAGAACTTTTCAGGGAGCCTGTCTTTCACATCCAAAAGTTGAAGGATGTTCCAAATAAGTGATATCCTCTGAAATCTTACCCATCTATTCCTTCAATTTGTGAATGGTAGAAACAGTGACCTTTTTTTGTTCCATGTTAGTGACTCCTGTGGTAAGGGTTTTCATCATGGTAGATAGTGCCTCGGTAGATTTGTTGATGTTCTCAATATCTTCCTTAGTGGACATTAGAACAAGCTGAAAGTAGTTTGAAGGTGAACGCTTGTTAGATCTAAGAGATTGTTGCGGTGATGACTAGGACCGTATTAATCTACCCATGCTCCTTGACCAAGTACTGAAATAAAATAATTCACTTAATTGATTGACTCATTTCTCAATATAGGAAAGGAAGGGAAAAAATATACATTAGAAAAGATGTGAGAAAAAAAATAAAACTCCACTCGTTTTTTTATAATGACGAAAAAAAGGGCTGCATGAACCTAGTATACGATCATAAAGAACATGGTGCATGACTCGAGTCGGAAAATAAAGAAAGTGTGTGGACTATACTTGACTCGTGAGTGATTAAGTGATGTTATAAGTTTTGCGGTATGATCGTACGGGTAGACATGTAAACATTAACCAAAATAACTGATGCGAGGACTAAATTAGCACAAAAGACTAAAAAAAAAGCTTACTAGACTTATTCCCTGGGACCTATGACACGGCAAACTATATCGCGACGCAGTACAAGATGACATAACAGGACACTGATAGTCATGCGGCGGTGATCGGTTCCTGGTACTTTTGTGTTTTTTTTAGTTTTATTTTATTTTAATGTTTGCACTAATTACTAAGTGAGTACGGTCCATTGGCATTAGTAAGTCATAAAATAAACCACTATTGAAAAAGAAAACTCGTTAAGGTTAAGAACAAAATGATCACATGTAGGGCACGCAGGCACAATGATGCAAAGAAGAGTTCGCAAACTAAGGTCAAGTTCTATGTTGCACTACAGTCAAGTTTATTTAGTGTCAAAGGGTACCATGGTTAAGATTTTGGACATGTTGGCAAGGAAACCTCCCTTGAGGGTGTATGCCAACAGGCGGCTCCGTGAGTTCGTGATGAAATCAAACTTGACTCCATTCTTTGGTTGGATCTAATAACTTGGATGAGCACTTATTGCCATGAGAGTTTTTAGGCCGGATAGAGTTTAAATCCCTAGGGCTAATACGTATGCAGAACACACATGTTTTTTCAGAAAAATTAAAGGAAGCTGACTGTGAGAAGAGAAATAAAGCCACTGGAAGGATTTCAAGACTGCTGCAACACGGCAGAATCTACCGTGTCATGGTGCCCTACGTCGTGACACGACAAGCTTTGCCGTGGTGCGACAGTCCGGAAATTTGACTGGTGCCCCTATTTTCTTCGTTCACAACAAGGTTATCAAATATTTCCTACGGAACAGACCTTAAATTAGACATTAAAACGTCCATGCATTTGTAAAAATGCAAATTTAATCACAGGAATATTTTCAAGAATCTTTCAAGTCTCATTCACTCATCTTAATTAAATACCGATCACTCAAATCGATAAATAACCAAGAATCCTCCCTAGAACAGTCGGCAAATTTTATGCGTTGTTCGATGTGCGCCTACGTTAAACCATGTATGAATATGCTTATCACTCATAGGAAGTGGGTATTGACGTATACGATTAGGGACAAGTAAAATAGGGAGCCGCCAACAAGTTTTTAAGGAACTTGTAAACCGTTCACGGATCATAAAAGGCAACCACGAATAAAGGGACAACGAAAGGCAACAACGACTGACTTGTGAAGTTTACACCCCATTCATAATCCTCGAGATTACTAACTCCATATAGTTTGGAACCACGAAAAGAGGATCGAGGATGATGGTACGAAGTGAGTCATGCAGTCACATTCGCTCGTATTGGCCTCTACTCGATTCTTATAGTGAAAAGTGATTCCTACGATCTTGGTTGAATATTAATGCAACACATAATTCTAAAATATTACTAGGATAAATTGGTGGAATATTAATGCCACACATAACTCTAAAATATTAGTGATCCCTTGATTAAACAATAAGATTAAAAAGGATCCTAAACCCGTCCTCCAAATTATCTTATTAAACGTGATTTTCAATTATATATTCCCTTCGAACATGCAATATGGTGAAAAATAAATATATATATATATATATATATATATATAATAAAATAAACATTAATATTGGAAGCAATTCAACGATAAATTGTTATTCAAATCAAAAATAAATTAACCTTATCATGATACTAGCAATATTAAAATAAAATAAGTAATTAAATTAATTAACTACTTATATTATGGGCGTTCCTTAAAATTGCTACATCATGAATAAATTGTTAGTATTTTCAATAAAAATAAAAATCAAATTGAAATTAAATTAAGTAAAATGTAGAGTTGATTTGGTCCAAACACTTAGTTATTTTTACATTTCACGCCTTAGTTTAAGGACGGAACCTCGGGTCAAGTATGGACTCCTTGGAGTGTTTAAGAAAAGAATGATGTAATTATGAATATAAGTTTAAGGATACAAGTATGAGAGATAGAGAAAGGAATGATTTTTTTTTTAGAAGAAAGGAAGAGAGAATGATTTGGTACCCCGAACTGTGGAGGGAAAATGAGTAGAAGGAACACACAGAACCCTAGAAAGATAAAACCCTTGTTTTAGGGCGCCCTGGCATGGCGGAGGTTGCCGCGACACGGAAAAATAACTGCCTTAAAATATAAAACGCGTGAAGGTTTTATGCGGAGAAAACACGGGAAAATTCTGTGACACAACACATGTACCGTGACGCGGCAAAAAATGCCTTGACGCGAAAAAAGTCCACTGTGGCGCGGCACGTGGCGCTGTGTCACGGTGCACTTTTTTATTCAAATTGAGTGAGGAAATGAGGAAAATACAAGAGAAGGGCACCGTGACACGGTGTAAAGTACCGTGTCACGGCAATATGCACCGTTCCATGTCATCCTTTGCCACGTCGCGGCATTTTAGTTGCTAGGCGGTAATTTCGGTTTTTTACACATTTTAAACACTAGAATAACTTTTGATCCATTACTCGGAATAAGACATTTAATATATTATTGAATATCGTATCAAGTATACTTTCCAAACCAATTAGAATCAATTAAAAATAATTTGTAGATTTTAACATATGTCCATTTTAGTGAAAGGGTGTCGTATTTGGGCCGAATTTAGTATTTTTCTCATATCTTCTTTGTTTTTAATCGGAATTGGGCTTATGATATATTTTTGGAAATCTTATTGTAAGGCCTATCCAAACAAATAATAATTGGATCAAAATTATAAGGCCAATAAATCAGTTTCTCTCGATTTTGCGATGTAGACACGAAAAGTGGAAAGTAAGTTATGGTTTAGGGAAATGAGCTATGAATGGGTTATGAAATGTATTGAATGGAAACATGAATTAAAGCACTCCTAAGATTAAATAAACAACCCGAACAATAATGGCGGTGAAAGGTTATTCATCATCGCGTTTGGTTTTGGGGAGACATATTTAGGTGTCTACAGTCACCAATTTCTTGAAATTTAAGAAAAGCAAACTAACAACAGAGAAAAAGCAAAATAAACCAAGAAATTCAAGAAATGGGAAAACAACCATAGAAAACACAAAGTAGAGAAATATCAAATAAAACTAAAGAAAAGAAGATTAAAGAATATAAAACAATGAAAATTCATCCGAAAAGAGGCCAAATAAGTGCCATAAATGACACTTATCGTCAATCCCAATATATTTAATAAACAAACCAAATTCTTAGCCCATTTTCCCCAAACCATAACTTATTATTTTCCACTTTTCGTCTCCATATCAAATAAACCGAGATAATCCAATTTTGTGGCCCTAAAATTTTGATCCAAATATTCTTTGGTTGGATGGACCTTTTAAAAAGCTTCCAATGATATATCATAAGCTCAATTCCTATTTAAAGCGAAAAAGATAATGTAAGGAGGGTGATCCCATCATAAGGGGTACTCTCCTTAAATGCCCTTGGCCACTTAAAAGCCTAGGACATTACACTTGTTAGGGTGTATTAGGATTTGAATTCCTGACTGTTTGGGAGACCTTGAATTAGAAATGATACTCTCATCACGCTTTTTTTGTAAGAAACAAGAAGGAGTCGCCAACGTGTTTTAGGAAAACTCATAAACCTTGTTCATGCCTTTCTTCCATATGGAGTTCATGGAATAATTTGCACAAATCATAAGTTTACCCATGCCCAAATTGGTCTATAAACACGAAACGACTTCGGGAGCGAGGGTACTAAGATAACGTTCCTTTTAGAGGGGAATCGTCATCCTAGCCCTAGTACGGCCTCTACTAGCTCTTCCTTTTCCACAATTTCATCACCAAACAATATATGCAACGCGATACCTAAAACTATGTTAGTTGATT